GCGCTTGAGGTGAATCTTGACAAATTGCCCACCTATCTAGCGCACACAACTTCGTCCATACTGGCTACCGGAGACAGTTGATCGTTGCTGGAGGGGACGGGGCGCACGCACCTTGTGGTCGTGCTAGGCTCGAGGGGTGGTTGTATGTACTCCGTGTGGAGCGGACTATGGTCCAACCACCGCCTTTTGTGAGAGCGCATCCCAAATACCGCGTGCTTGTGTTCGCCTGTGAATGAGTTTGGGCCAGCTCCGTCGATGATACGTGCCAACCGTCCACATGCCCCCCGGTGTTACTCCTTCGGGCTTACACCGGATATGGGGTGTGTGGTTGGAGCTGTGCGTGGCGCAGCACAAGCCACTCATGTTCATTGCAGGCCTAGGTGTCCAGTGGTTGGCCACAGTGAGGCAAATCCGAAAGCCGAAGCCGTCAAACATGTATGAATTAGAAATAAGAATGTCAAACATTTTGACTAGATACCACAATGGGCATTAAGCTCAGCAGAGTCTGTGCAATTACGTATGTTTTCCTGTTAACGCAAATCAGACGTTGCGTGAAGATGGTTTCTGATATTAGGAGATACCGATGCACTGTTTATCTAGGACAGTAGCATCGGTCATGCTAGATGACTGCGAATTTTTTCAAAAATATCTTGAAATATTTTACCTTGCGGCCTGGGGTACCTAGAGTGCCACAAAGGCGACATGTACAACCAAGTGCTTGCTCACTGCACAATAGGACTAGGTGTATTCGGAGTCGGATAGTAACTTCATCAATGATTTACTAAGACTTTGGTAGGCTCCTTGCGCGTTATTTGCCGATGACTTAAAGTTGTGGTGGATGACTTCACTCCCATTGTTGTACGTTTGCTGCAAAGTGTCCTCGACGAATTATCCTTATGGGGGCCAATTAACTGCATCCCGTTGAGTCCTGCAAAATTCGCACTAATCAGCATTGCTAAGCCTTGTGGTGATAGAACTTACAGCATCGGTGGACGACAGCTTTTTCCTGCTACAATGGTAAGAGACTTTGGAGTAATCTCCCAATGGGATTCCAAGTAGTCGGACAATATGCACAAAGTCTAGTGCTCCATTCACTACGTGTTTTGGCGCTTCTGTGGATGTTATCAATCCGGTCGGAACAAGCTGTTACTAGGCTGTGTCGACGTGGTTCGCCTGCTGTTGGAATACAGTTCACCAGCCTACTAGCCCGGCAAAATGACTGGGAGGAAAAGGCTGGTGAACGTGCAACATCAAGTCACTTGTTTACTTTTGACACTTCGAGGCTTAGGCTACTAACAGAGAAGCAATAAATTGCAACTTCAGTCACTGGTATACAGGAGACTGAGGACTCAGCGCCAGGCCCATTCGGCGCTGATCCACTTGAGATTACGCTCCAAGTACCGTTGCACAAATTCGTTGACCACCTAACTAGCTACTTGGACGCCCAAGTAGCTAGTACCGTCTATCGTAGACCTTGTCTTTGCTTAGTCCCACGCGTTTGCCGCCGATGTTACGCACGAACCCCACTGGGTTCTAGTGATCATGCTTGCTTTCTCTTCAGTAGTATTCTGTTTAGACATTACCAGCGCACGGTTGATTTTCACGCGGACATATGGCACGCAGACTGTCAATGAGGGCCAAGGCTTAAGGTTTCGATTGGGAGATCTCAGGCAACGATACTGTCCAGGTTGCCTGGCATAGACTTAAGTTCTACCTCACAGCTGTCTCTGCTCCCTTCATTCCAGTCACCAGGAGAAAAGAGCCACTAGCCTAACCGCCCTGGAGGTAGTCCACTGGTAAGCGACTGCCCACAAAGAGGTCTAAATGTTGATGGACTCACAGAAATCCCCATCCACCGATGCTTATGACAGGTACCGCAAAGTTGGAAATAAGTGTAAGCAACGCTTAATGAAGGCTCGGATCCTGTTTGAGAAAGGGTTAGCAGTTGGTGCTTCAGAGCATCCAAAAAAGATTTCATGCATGTCTCAAAAGGCGCTGTGCTCCGAACACGTCAATTCCAGTGTTGATACTCGATGATGGCAGTCGTGCTCATCCTGACTAGAACGAGGTCTGCGTACTTAGTAGGCAATATGCAACAACGTTCGTAAGGGAAACCTCTTTGACAGCCTTTGAGCTGATTTGCAGGATCCCAGAGGGTTCGTGCATATCTGGTATTGCAGCTGAGACGGAACTTCGTAGGCGATTATAAGTGCTGAACCCTTCTGATGCCACTTGGCCCGAGTTAATCCACCCGAAACTGTTGCATGAATTGCTTACGGATCTAAGTGGATCGCTCGCTTTTGTGGCTCATAAATCGCCTGACGGCTGTGCACTACCCTTCAAATAGCAGAAAGCTGTCATCTGTCCCACCTACAAAAATGTGGACAGGGGTCTGCTTGCAAATTACAGACCAGTTAGTCTGACGAGTGTAGTAGTTAAACCACGCAAGAAAGTGGTAAGGGATTCATTGGTGATTCATCTAAGTGGAGTTAATCTACTTAGTAATGCACAACACGGATACCTGAAGGGATTTTCCCGTCTGGCGGATCTACTGGGTGGCTCTCAAAAGTTGGGCGGATGAAACGGTCAAACACCACGCACTGCACGTGCTTTTCCTCGCTTTTTCGAAGGCATCTGACCAGGTACTCCATTTGAGGCTCGCGTAATAGCTGTGCTACTGGTTATCCGGCCGTGCCCTTCATTGTGTGACTGTCTTCTTGGATGGTAGAGAACAGTGTGTACGGGTAGGCCTTAACCTATCGTTTAGCCAGTCGGCCATCAGCGGCGTACAGCAGTGCTCGGTCCTTGGACCGCTGCAGTTCCATATCTATGCGAATGCCCTAACGGCGGAGCTTGAAGTACCTACGCTGCTGTGCGCTGAAGACCTAAAGCGGTGGAAGCTTGTCGAGGTTCGTGGAGATTCTGAAGCTATCCAGCTAGCCTTGGATAGGCTCCGGGACTGGTTTACCTTATGGTTATCGCCCATAACTCAGGCAACGTGCTCCATTCTTCGAATTGGAAATGGATGTCCTCCTGCGAAGTATATGCTCGGTGGGGGCGAGCCCTCCCTTTATCTAAGCAGGTTGATATAGGCGTCGTATATCCTTCGACTTTAAACTCCGGAGACAACTTGAAGCAAGCCGCAGTCAGAGGTTCCCGCATATTATGGTTAATACGACGTTATTCCGGAATCTTGACGGTGGCATTTTGCGAAACTGTTCTCGGCTATCGTTCGGCTTCATCTAAAATACTGCGTCATGGATTGTCTGCCTTGCCTCGTCCGGGACAAAATGGAGCTACAGAGGGTTTAACGGGTGGGTGCCAGGTTAGATGATAGATTACTGGGACAGAAGTACTCTGAGTGTCTACTTAGGTTGAGAACGCATTCAAGGCATTACCTAAGGCCTAGAGGAAACTTAACGCTAAGCTGCGGTGTCTTAATTGGGAAGGTTGGTCCAGATTGGTCTTGACTATTCAGCCCCGCTAGATTGACTTTTTACACGGTCATTCCAAGAAACTAGAGACGCAGCGGTACGGTTGTATTAAGGCGGAAATCCGAATGTCACGCCGTCATCGATTGCTGGAACACGCTTCCAGTGACGGATTATGAGGGAATCTACGGTTAAGTGGTTTGAGCGACAACTTGACGTTCTTGTTTGGCACATAAAGCCTTTCTATTTTCCTGAGTAACTCACATTTTCCTACTTCGACTTTCTTTTCTCTACGTTACTTCATGTGTTGGTATTATCCTCTTATTTCCATAAACCTTATACTACATCGAGCTCTCTTCCTATCCTTTGCTTACTTCAAGTGACTGCCACAGTAGGGACTGAGAACAGGGTACTTGGGCGTTAACTGTTTGGCAAGGGTGCGAAACGGGTGTTCCGGTTTAGACCCGTCAATAACTCTGCGCGGTTCACGAATTCCTGACTCAACGCTCCACTCAAGAGGGAACACCCACGAAATTCTCCTATCGCTCCAGTCCCACCGGAACTTGAACTTGATCTTATTGCAATATTCAAGAGCATTCGTCTGGGGCACTGTACTCATTAGCGTAATAGGTTCATCATCAAGAATACATCTATCACATGACGTAATTACAAGCTAGAGATTCGACTTTTGGAGCACATATCTCATATTCATTTCCTCCCGCTAAAGAAAGAACCAACTGAAAAAATTCAAAAACTGTGAGTGGTAAAATTGACAAAAAAAGCATTTGTTGTTGCTCTTTTCTTATTTTTCATATTGTTTTCCTATTCAGCCATGATTCCGATGGCACAATATCTGTACCACAGATTGGGTATTATATATATATATATATATATATATATATATATATATTCGCTCAGCGCTTGATTAATTGCTGGAACTGGTTGTCCAGCATTAATGTAATTGCAGTTTCCGTACAATGTTTGAGGGAAAAATTGACATCCAACTTGCAGACCCATGTTTTGATACAAAGGCCAGGTTCGACCACTTCTCATCGCGTGGAAAAGTGACAGCCGCATTATAAACTTTGATGGACTGTGACACAGAATAATGTGTGCTCGTGGTTTGTGTTACTAAGGCACGAACATTATGACTTCACTCAGAACGATAGTATGCACCAGTCGTTTTTGTTTATACTATTGATGGAGATGGCACATGCTGTAATCGTTCTCTCCTAATACAGTGATAGTGCTTCTGATTTCCACATATATAGTAAGATAATCATAAGTATACCACATTGGCGTTAAACGTTTGTTATTAGACATTTATGTGATATTGCATATGAAGTTAACTTTATACCATATACGTAAATGATAGCAATATCAATGTAGAGTAGCATTTCTGTGTGTGTGTAGACTATTGCGACTTTTATTAAAAACTCCTTCATGGCGATGTGCTGAAATTCTTGTTGCTTGCAAACATCCAATTACTTCCAGAGAGCTTAAAAACTAAAAACAAGCATTTGCAGGTGGAGAATGACTAATGTAGCGTTTTTATGCACCAACGGATAGTAATGGTTGGATCAGCTTACATGGCGGCAGTTGGGCGCGTTTCGATCCGGTTGTTTTTTGCCTGATTTCTGTCTCGGTAAGCGCCCAGTGCTTGTCTTGGTTTGCCCTACTTTGTCAATTTTGCGAATAAGAAACTTCTGTTATTGGTAGCGCCTATTATTTTGACACTGCTTGTTGTTCATTTTTTGCTCCTTCTCGTATTTTGTATGCTAATCCTCCCTCCACATCGATATTCCAGTGGTCTGCTACCTAAACTTCAGTAAAACATTTGACTCGGTTAATCATCGCTTTTCACTGGACTGCATCCCCAGCTGATGACTTGGTTGTCGGAGTTCTTCTGTGGCAGAAAGTTCAGTCAGAATTGGGGAATCCAGATCTAGCATGGGCACTAGTAGTCAGCTGTAAGCCGTAACGGCGCTTCGCTGCCGTGCGACCACCATTAGTCTAACGCGGGCTGAGTATACCGCGAGGATGCCCACCTCTACGCGAATGGGCACTGCTCATAACGGAGTCTCCCAGGATTCAGTGCGAGGACCGTTGCATTTTACTTTTATAAACGATCCAGCTCCAGTCCTCGAGAAACCTTGTCATGACTGCGGATGACGTAAAGCTTGTCAGTAGAGGATAGGGATGTATATATGTACATGTATATGTATGTATATAGATTAAAATCTGTGTACAGATATTGTGTCATCGGAACCATGGCGAAATAGGAAAACGGTTCGATTTATTGAACTAAAGAAATAAACGATTTTTTGTCCATTTTTTCACTCGCAATTTTTGCTTTTTTATGTTTTCCATTGGGGGAGGGAAGAGGATGATCCATCCAACCTTCGTCAATTGGGCCAGATGCTACCCGGTTGCCCAAGCCGAAGTAAAGGGTTGTCTTGGAGGGCCCCACACCAAGCCTTTGATCCAGGATCTAACCTACAAGGCAGCAGGGCGATATGACAATATCGCAACCCGTTGAGAGACGGTGACCAAACAAGTGGTTCGTTCGCCTTTAGGACCGCATTGAACCAGGGGCCCAACATCTTGAATTACGATGCCACTCAGAGAGAGGCAAGGAGCAGTGACTTTATTTAATGACGAGTCATCCGCCACGTCACAGTGTTGTTAAACGGACATATGTTGCTATTTATAGGGAGAACGCTCGCCAGGCCATAACCCACCATATCCTGGAACACTGCCGCCGAACCATTCGCTGGAATGGGATAATCCCGAACCACCCAGCTGGCACCACGAGGCGGTTGTTCGGCAAGCCAGCCGGAGATAGATACGTTGTCTAAAGACCTGGGCACTGGCGAAATGGTCTGGATCATGGGACTTATCACTGAACGCAGCCAGCTGTTATCATCCAGTAACGTTGGGATTACGGTGCAGACATCCACAGGGTCTGACATTGCAGTGCGTAGATAAGGCGACGGACTTGGGCATCGTTATGGTAGATAGCTTCAAGCCTCCGGAGCAGTGCTAGTATGCTGCTAACGGCGCGGCAGAAACTTTTTCGCCTCAGGAAAGCGTACGGTACTAAACCGGAGATCTTTCTCTCTGTTGTACAACGCGGTTGTTCGGCCGCACTCAAAGTATTAAGTTCAGGCATGGGCACCTTACTTTCGAAAAGATATCGCTTGCTTAGAGAAGGTACAAAGCCGGACCACCAGGATGATTGAAGGCCATTGTGAGAAAGTCATATGTTGACTGCTTGGATTGTTTAAGCTTGCTCTTATTGGAACGACGCAGACTAAAGGCGACCTGATGGAAACATTTAAGCTTATGAAGGGTCTCAGTGGCATTAAGCCTACCGATCTCTTTAAACTAGCTACGTCGGACAACCTGAAGCTTATGACGCATAGGTCTAGACTTGATATCCGTGCGAAATTTTTCACTATCCGCGTAGTACGTAGTTCTCATTCACCTCCCCTGCACTAGTGGAATGTAATCCCATAGAAACCTTTAAAAGTATAAATATGAATCGTTCCACTCTATTTCCTGAGTTGCACTTAGATTGGTAGATTTCAATTATCGTAGAAAGTAGAAGTCACGATTAAACTTCACACAATAATCTGCCTGGACGGGGAATTGAACCCCGTACCCACGGGGGTTCGATTACTCGTCGAGACAGATTATTGTGCGAAGTTTACTCGTGGCTTCTACTTTCTACGAAAATTACACTACTCACAAAATTCACAAGATTTCAGTTAGTACCAATAGGATGTCACGAATAGTTTTATAAAGTTATGAGATATTTTCCTTTTTTGTATCTGCAGCAATAACGCTTGAACGTCGAAGTGCCGGAGGCATTTGATTGCTAACCGGCACACGAAACGTGACGCTCGTTAGGCGGTCTGTCGTCCCTGAAGATCTGACCTGACTTGACATTTTATTAGCACCCTTGAAGGTTTAGCGGTCCGACCGTACTCACTCTGACGGCCCGATATGTAGGCCGAAAGCTCCAAGAAAATACAGAACACTAACGCATATGATGTTGCAAAGGAGCATAACGTTCTTTTAAATAATGGATCCCATTTGTAAGCACCTCCCGTATGCACAGATGGACGACTAGCGGTCCCTTCAAAGGATGAACTTGTCCCTGGGATATCGTCGTCGCTGTGATAACATGATTTACACGTGACGTATTCTCTGAGGTGAGATGCGGGATTAGATACAAGTTATTTCGTTTTTGTGCTGATAGTTCGACACGAAACCACGGTATGTAGCTGTTCAAACTAAAGAGGCTTCGGGTTCGCTCTGATGTCACTTTGTCAACTCTTGTACTGAATGACTGGAACAGTTTCCATGAGCTAGTCGTCAATGCGCAAACAGCGCAATGTCTCACGATTACTAAACATCTATTTGCTGGACAAGGATGGATCTTGTTGTATTGAATACTGAACACTGTATTTTGGAGCAAGTAGAAAATAATTCTGTACAACTCCATCAGGTGATAATCAAAAACATTTTAAAAAAATAAATAAACACGTCCGGTGGTTATCCTGAGATAGTTCAGCAACTCCCTATGTATTGACTGTGACCGCAACGTTCCCTTGTGGAACACTGCTGCACCAACTCACATAATCCCTACAGTGATCGGGAAGTGATGGGGCTGACAAAGGATTTCCTTTCTGCACTCTACAAACCAATTTGGTCGTGTTTTTGGTCACTCACAGGGACAAAAGGTTCAACTGAAAATAAGTGGCATACTCTGTACATATAGTGTTAAATAAGACTACATCTTTAGCACCTCCGTCCTTTGCCTAAAAGGCCTTACTTAAAAAAAGAATCGTAATCTCAATCCTCGCGGGTGACCGTTTGAGCGCCTTGAGTAACCAATATGATCCCGTTCGTCCCAGTTGGATTTTTTTGGATGACTTTTGGTCTGTAGTACTATGTAATCAATTTGGGAATCGATTTCGGCTTAATGTTGACGGCACTTGCCTCTCTAACCTCGTTGCTCGGGAGAAATGAGCGAAATCGTTGGCTGCTGGCAAACCTATTGATGTCGTTTTCGTCTACTTCAGCGAGGCGTGTCACAGTCTCCCATGCACGTCTCTTCAAACTTTCGAGAATGGGCGTCTATGATTTTCTCAAATGCTGTCCAGTTCGAGTGAAGGTGAACGAGGCCCTTTGCACCCATTCCGCTGATCACTGGGGTGTCTCAGGATTGGGTCCTTTTCCCAGAATTATCCAATATCTTCATTAATGGCCTTCCGACCGTGCTTCAAGCCGATTGTCCAATATATGCCGATGATTTGAAACTGGATGGTCAACTGCTTTGATGTTGTTGATGATGTTGCGGTTGTCACTTGATATGTTGCATGACTGGTCTGTCGCCTGGGGGTTACTTATAAACCACTATAATTGATTTGTCTTCTCGATTGGCGCTCCTGATCCACTTGGCACCTATCACATCGGTGGCTCTCTGCTAATGACTGCCAATCGCGCAAAGGATCTCGGTGTCATTGTATCCTCCGATCCACGAACAACCCAGGATACGTCGAAGAAAGTCGCTGTAGCTAACAGGATGTTTGGGGCTCTAAGAAGGTCATTCTCTCGGATGACTTCTGAACTCTTCAAACTCTTGTTTGTTTCACATGTGCGTTCCATCCTTGAGTACAGTTTACGGGCGAGTTACTCATTCACCAAGTCCGAGTGCAACCTGCTTGAGAAACTTCAGAGGCGTGGTTCCAAATCGGTCCCAGCTCTTCAGAATTTGTCCTACTACAATTGCCTCTTACGTAGTAACCTGTCTCTCTAGACTACCGCCGCCACTTCAGAGAATCTACGCAAGACACATTCTGTGGGGTGAGCTGGGTAGCGATCTCCAACTGTCCTTCCAGATCACCAAAAGTATCAACTCGTGGCCACAGTTGGAAACTCTTCAAACCGAGGTGGCATCGAGGTCGCCTAGTGGTCACCTTATCTACCCGGATATTGAACGATTGGAACAATTTACCAGAAGCTTTGGTCAGGGTTCCCGCTGATGAATGTTTCGAGGCTTTTGGATTTCCATTTGTTTAGTGTATCAGGATCGTGCTGTTATTCGTGTAACTGTGCTCTCTCACTGTGAACACCTTTTCTCGCTAACACGCACCTTCCTCAGTCCATTTAAACAACAGTACATCAGCCATTTGAACTGATGCTTCGCTGTCATACAATCAAGACGACCTACGGAACGAAGAAAAATAAGGAGAGAAGTGGGACTTACCTGAAAACCTTAATGCCCTAAACAAAAATTCAGGGTCAAGGCGCCTACACCTTGAATTAACAACATACTGCCACAAACAGCTGGCTATCGTGCAAAGGTAAGGTAGCATCGGCGAGACAGCTTCCTTGCGGCTTTCAGTACAACGCGTCATAATCAGCCATTACCCCGCAGATAACTCAGCACCAAACACTTTAAACAAGCAGTCCGATTAGGAGACGGAAGCAGACGAGCCACTGATGTCGGTTGTGAGCCATGTCCTGTAAAGTTTGGAGCAAAGCGCAAGGCGAGTCACGTGGACTGCAGCCCGGAAGATGAGACGAATCAACGGCACCCAGTTTGGTCGTCGGTGACTTCACTTCACGCTGCCA